ATTCTGAAAAAGTTCAATTATTATTATGTTGCTCTTCACCAGGGACCTAGTATATAGGTCCCTGTCTTCACTTACTTAGTTTCATTTTATGCTGAAATATTTTTAAGCATATTTAGTAGATGAAATCCCTATAGTTTGCATTGGAGTTTGATGAGCAGTGCCTTGTTATATTCTTATACATTTACTCATTTTTTACAAAAATCAGATTAGATCTTATACTTACTGATAAAGTTATAGTTTTAATGCATTTCCCTCCAGCTTGGAATTTAAATGACCACAGGAGACAAGTATTCTGTTGAGAAAAAAAAGAATATGTTTGTTCATGAAATTATCTGGCATTAATATTGACCAACACACATGCACACACTATGTTTGAATTATTGAAACATTACACTCTGAATTAAATGATAATGTGTCTCATATTACCCCCCCCCCCCCCCCCCCCCGGTATGGAAGTGGAGAGCTTGGGGATTAGATGATCAGAAATTTATGCACAACTTATATAAATATAAAATTTATTATGTTTTATTATGCTGGATAAAGGTTGTAAATTTTGCTTGATTCATTAAAAAAATTAGACCCCCCCCCCTCTTTTTAAAACAAAGATCTTTATCTTATATTTCAAAGACCCTATTACAATAATTTATCTCACAGTTTATTTGGATTTCATTTGTTATTATCGTCATGCTCATGCAGAGGCTACTCTAAGTAACTGTTCCCAGATATTGACACATTTCATATCTTTATATTTTAAGAAAAGACTCTAAAACACATTTTTTTTTTTTTTACAAAAGTCTTGTGATACATAATGTTAAACAAAGAGATTATGTTTAAGAACATTTACTTCATGTGTAGCACAGCCATCTTGAATCAAAACAAACCAGAAATCTACGATACAAATACCTAGAATATCGCGAAATCTACACTTGATATTCATATTCTAATGCATTCTCTAAGTGGATAAATGCATTTACAACAAGCAGCATCAAAATTTAAACTGAAATAAAGACTCACCGACTAATAAGTCTCTGATTTCTTCTTGAAATTTTCATCACAGCAAATTTTCAAATCGTCTCTGAAATATCCGCGCTGTCGCTGACCAATCGTAGACTTCGCAGGAGTCACGTGATTTTAAAAAAGTTTGTTAAATTATTCCTGAAATAGTTCGTGTAAACAATGAAAAATTATAACAATGCATATTTAACAACTGTTACATGGCGTCAACTTTATTAAAAAGCCGATTCGTATGAATTCCTTGAAATATAGCGTCCCTAATTGGGTAAATAATCGGGACCGCCATTTTGGACGCCATTTTGTGTTATAATCGGGGTCGCCATTCTGATTTCACATAACTTCTTTTTTTTTAAATTACATGTGAAATTGATTAAATTTATTGATTTACAACAAATTCTTTATGTACTAGACCTCAGCTAAAATCTTAATGTAACTGGCACTCTACGTACATTCCCGAACATCGAAATGAAGTGTCACTACATGAACCCTGTAAAATATACACATCATGTTTACATACTATGTGTATGGTAAATTAAACAATAAGCACACGTCTTTTGAACACCTTGAAGGCTATTATTTATATTAAATTTCAAGCCTGATTTGTAAATGTGACACTATTCTTTACTGCTACTACTTTACTATCAGTTATAGTTTAAAACAAATTTGTTTTTATTTCATTTTTATTATTTTTTCTTTTGTTTATTTACCTATTATGATTGAGCTGTAGACTTCAAATCAGCCCTTTGTGATTGAAGAACTGCACGTGATACACGATCCAAAATTTCTGCAGTGTAAGCTATAAAGGTCACCTAGTACAAACACCTGTGTCACTGAAGAACACTGGAAATCAACATCGTTTTGCATACAAAGAAAAACGAAGTCTATTTTAAAATATCACTGGAATACTGGATATAAATAAATTCTCACTCTCTATATAAGTAAATTTAAACATCCCTAACATTTCTGTATTTCACCAGAGAGAGAGAGAGAAAGAGAAAGAGAGAGAGATGCCCTAATTTGGATATCATTTAATAGACTGTAACACAAGGTATTAATGATTTTAATACACTTTTTTCTGTTAAACTGGGCAATTCAGATGGTCAAAATATTGGTATTTATAATTATACTGTGTTTATAAGACACCCCCTCCTCCTTTGTCTCATAACATGTAAAACAAAATTACTAAGAACCCTGTAGGGTAGAGGGGGTTTTTAAAGAACAAAAATGGATCTTTTATTTGCCATAAAAAATTAATTGAATTGAATTGATAATTATATATATATTTTTGGCATTTGATTAACAAAATAACCCCCCCTTTTTTTTCTTCCCCCAACACAGTAGACATTATGCTTGCATTAATGAACTGAAATCTTAAGTATAATATAATTAATAATCAAATGAACAAAAATAGTTGAATAAAAATTAAAAAAAAAAAGAAGAAATGGTGGATAAAAAGTGACTTTTATTACTACTACCCCCCCCCCCCCCACACACACACACACACAAATGACACATCCTAAATGTCATGATATAATTGTATTACTATAAAAGTATAATTTCAATTGTTATTAATTATTGATTCACTTGTTTGAGTTTCCATTTTTCTCTGATTGAAAAACATGATTCTATTTAAATATTATCACAAATAGGTGCCCATGTTGAAAAAATCAGTTTTAAGTTACAAAGAAGCAATAAATGTGACAGTCCAATTTAGTTTAGAAGTAACATTGAAAAATGACAAAGTCTTGAATTAAGTTTTAGTTAAATTCAAACATGACTGTCAATTTTAGGTACAAAAAGTTGTATATTCTAAAAGTTTACTCATCCTCAAGGTACAAAATTTAAAGAAAAGATATATGGAAATGTTAATATTTTTGGTATGGGTAAGTAGACCAAAATACTGTGAAATGACTAAGTCTTTTATAGGTACTAATCAGGCACATTGAAAAATGACAAAGTCCAATGTAGGTACATTTCAGGCACACTAGAAAATGACTAAGTCCAATGTAGGTATATTTTAGGTACACTGGAAAATATTTAAGTCCAATATAGGTACATTTCAGGCACACTGAAAAATGACAAAGTTCAATGTAGGTACATTTCAGGCACACTGAAAAATGACAAAGTCCAAAGTAGGTACATTTTAGGTACATTGGAAAAAAATTAAGTTCATTATTGGCACAGAATAGGTATGCCTTTTCTGTACCTATATTAGTAGGCACACTTTAGGTACTGAATAAGCACAAAAAAGGCATGCCTATATGTACCTTTTTTTTGTATGGCTTTCTTACCTGGCAAAAATAAAAATTTAAAAGTTTGAAATATATTCAACTTACATGAAGAAAACTAGTAAAACTAGCGATAATGTAATAGACCTTTCAGATGTTCCAAAGCAGCTACATGTACCTTATTAAAAAATATAAAGTTTGAAGTATTTAGAGTCACCTGTATTCTGAACAAGGGATATGTGTATTTGACAGACAGATGAATGAATAGACTGATCACTATAGAGCACCTTAGTCTTTTTTCAATAATCATTATATTAGTGAAAATAAAATAGGAACTAGAGTGCTTCAAGGAATGTATATGTCGCCTGCTAGGTATCTTCATTAAAGAGGTAAATAAATCTAAGAGTGGTCAGCTATTAATTTAATATTAGCATGGAGGTTCATGCATTTGCCTGCAAGGAAAAAAAAGGATCCAAAAGTAAAAGACTGGGATAGAATCTGGCAATCAAAAAATATAGTTCCCCAGTCCTCAAATGAATAATTAAATTGAAATTATGATGAATAACTATTTATCATTTTATTAATACACATGCAGGTGCTTCCAACAATCCTCAGAGGAAAGAGATTTCAGACTGTCTTTACTTTGTCACTTTGTCAGTCAACACGATTCATTGTAGAATACTGATCCCAATGTATTTTCATAGTATTTAAATAAGTTTGTGGTAACTGAATTTCATACAGTTTCAAAGTATAGTATCATGAGCTCAAAAACATATATAAATGCTAATTATCAAAACCCTGCCTCTAAAAATTTTGGAGATATAAGGTGTGACAGACGGAGAGACAGACACCAGGTAAAGTGATCTCTAAGTGTCGTTCTGCTCTGCAGTTGACACAAAAATGAAACTTAGTCAATTTTTGAGCATGCATATCACTTCAGTGATGAAAGGAATGCTGAAGTGGTAAGTCTATCCTAATTATTTGAAAATACGGCAACCCCATTGGTCAGAATATAATACATATGCTGTCAAGCCTTAATTTCATTGGCATAAAGCAGCACAAAACAAGATTTGATTGGATGGTGCAACTTGTTTTTCTAGGGGGCGCTGTTGCAACCCTGGAAAAGAAAATAGGACTGGGGCTTGCCCTTTGGGGGCACTTACTGACCGAAAGTAAACAACAGAAATAGCAAATTACACTAGAAATATGTCCATAGGCCATGAATGCCCCGCCGAGTGTATAGTAATGCAACATGAAATTTTGTGTTAGTATATGAAGTTTGATGAGAATATCTTGAAAAGTTTCTTTAAAATTGAAATAAAAATTTTAAAAAAAATGAATAGATGATAAGTTCTCACCAAATTATGTATAGATGCATAGCCTTAGATAACAATATCTTAAATGGTTTAAAACCATGCAAGATGCAAATTAAAGAAAAGTGAGGTCAAGGTCACAGGAAAGGTCAAAAATTTTTGAAATAGTTGAATAGGTCTTACTAATCTTACAGCATATTAAGTTTGATAAAAAATATCTTGAATGATTTCTTTAAAACTGAGCTAGTCACAAGCGTGGCGCCATGGTTAAAGCGTCTGCTCTAGAGTCACGAAGTAAGGAATTGATCCTTACATCACAGGTTTGAATCCCACTGTGGGATGTGGACACCAGTCCTTCGGATGAGACCTTATAAACTGAGGTCCCATGTCGCAGTAGGTGCTGGCAGGAAAAAGGACCCTCACTGCTCAATGGCTGTGAGTGCAGAGTATAGGACAGAATTTGCAGCTTTCCACTGGCAAGTGGTGGCGTCTCCATATGAGTGTAAAATTCCCAATAGGGGCTGCAGATTACCTGTTATGATTGACCAAAATCCCTACTAGGCTTTAAACTCTTCATTCTTGACCTGTATATCGTCAAATGAGATTTGTCCAGTTAATTAAGGTAAAAATTACTAATTGATAAAACTGTAAATGATTTTTTTTTTACCTGAGTCAGATTTTTACTTTTCTTAAAGGTGTCTGGATTTGACTGTTGGTTCCACCTATCTCAAGGAAATGATCTGTAACAGTAAATGTTAGAAATCATAATCTGTTCTCTATCTCCTATAATCACGAGAAAAGGTGTTAAAAATTAACAGATGGAGATAAAATCAGCAGTCATATTAAAGGCTTTTTTCAATCATCAATTTATTAGTGAAAATCATAAAAGTATTAGGCAAAAATGAAAAATAAATGTTGTCATTAATTAACCTTGCATATCTCTACAATTTTCTGATAAGAAAATTTATACCCGATAGATGCAATATAATCACCCTTTGCCTGCCCCTAAATTAAATTATGAAATTTTGATAGATTTTGATTTAAGCAATTATTTAAAACAAGGTTTTTTTAGGGGCACGTACCCCTGCTTTAGATTTATATAAAAAAAAAAAACTACAAAAAACGTGAAAACCTATTTCTATCTTACTGGTTTATATTTATTACAAATGTCCTCATAGTCAGCATAGCCCAGAATGGTAGACCGCAGACTCTCACCATGAACATTTTTAGTGTCCTGGTTCGAATCCATTTGTTGGCACATTTTTATTTTTTCAAACTTTTTACCTGTATAAACACTAAAGAACGAGTGCACTTATGGGCCCCGGTAAAATGTGAAATAATGAAGAATCAAATTAAGCTTAATTTTCCATCTCAGATCATTAATTGATATCTAAACCCTAAATTCAACAAATTTTATTGCTGAAATTCATGAATATACAAAGAGCAAAGCCATACAATGTGGTAGGGGTCAGCCAACATTCGTGATTTTCTATAGTAAATTGAGTAAATTATCATTCATTTCAAAGCTTTTGTTTATTGTCAGCCTAACGTTGTACAAACTTGTGTGATTGACAAAAAATGCATTATACATTTATAAAACTTGTGTGAAAGTAGGAAATTTGTACAAGATTAGGCTTGTACTTAAAATATTAAAAAAATGTATGAAAAGTTCAATGTTTTTCCTATAGCAAGTAAGAGCTTAGATTTACCTGTATGATCTAGCTATGTTGAACCCACCCATGGAATAAATTATTTAAAATACCGGTAGTCACGTGAGTTCTACCCAGGTAAACATTCCTCAAAGATGCTCACTGTAAAGCATAGCCACGTTTTGTATCATTATATCAAAGTCATGCCGCATAGAGAAGTTTGTATGTACATGTATTTGGTTTTAGGAAAACGGGAGGGTTAGGAACACAGAAGGGTTAAGAGAGTTTAGTGTCGTTAAAATGTCATCATAAATAAAAGTGTCAAACATTTTTAACATTCAAGCAAGACAATGGTACCAGTATTGAAAGCCACCCAAATACACCTTTTTTCATTTTAAAATATAAAGGAACTAATGTTAATACTTATTGCATTATTTCAAATGCAAGCATACCAATTTCATAGTTTGATCACTATGGATACAGGCATCTATACAACTTCATTCAATTTTTTTCTCGGGTAAAATAGCGCAAGAAGTATCATTCGGCAAATGTGCCTGTCAATGATCCACCATCAGATTGTTCAAGTGTCTGATTTAAGATTTAAATGCCTCCTCCCCTTGATTTAAATAAACAATTGAAACTCAAAATGGGTTTGATATGACTTTCCGGATCTATAGGCATTTAAAAAACTTCATTTGTTTCAAATCCATGCTGATTGATGTTTTAGCGTGATTTTAATTAGAAATGTCCACTTGTGTTTAACTATTACTAAAAGAGAACAATTTGGTAATATATTCTAAAGTAATACAGCACTGAAAAAAGGCCCATTAAGCATTCCTTAAGTGCACTTGTCCTTGCACTTTGATTTTTTTATACAGGCTTTTGCATTTTACTTATATTTTCTTCCTTAAATGCATGTTTGGTGTTGATATAAAAGACATCTACAGAAATGCAGATCATAAATTCTCTTTAACTAAATGCAATCAACCGGAACTATACCTCATTGTAAGCACACTTTGTTCGAGGACACTAATCATTCACTTTGTGTTACTCGATACTGCAGGTGTCAGGAAAAAGAATCTTGCTGAGCAATAACTGCTGTGTTTTCCTTTCAAGAACATAATGACATGTAATAGTACTGTTGTGCCAGTGGGAGAGATACTGTTCTATGCAGAGTAGATGCAGTTCATTCCTTGGGAAAAATGTGTGCATTGGCGATATGTTATGCTAAAAATGCATGAGGGTTTTCAGATTAGAAAAGAATGTGGTAAGGTCAGTTAAGGTTTTATGTCCCATTGCCATTACTCAGTCAGACATCAAGAATGACCCTCATACAAAGGATGTATAATTCTGTAAATACTGAGGTAGGATCATATGAACACACAGTTGACTAGAATGAAATATATCGAGATAACAAACAGTATTCAAGCTCAAAAGCCCATCAAAAAATACAAAATAGGAGCAGAGCAAACACGGACCTCCAAAACATCAGAGGTGGGATCAGGTGCCATGGAGGAGTAAGCATCCCCTGCAGACCGGTCACACACGCCATGTGCTCCTTGTCACAACTGGGAAACAATGGAAAAATCCATCGATAATTCAGTGTGTAAATAATGGCCTAACAATAAGTATGAAAAACGTCACTCAGCATTTGACTTAATGATAAATTGTATTTGCTGACAAAGTCATTGTATCGACCATAGAATTTACAAAATGATAACTTTAAACAAGACTGCTGATATTCTTGTTTCAGCAGCTTATTTGTCAATAACTTACCTCGTTTTAAAAAAATTTCAAACATAGAGGATGCTCTTTCGTATCAAATCAACTGAGAGATATAAACCCTGTATGCAGGTGATGAAGGTATATTGCTAAATAAGTAAGGGAAGTTGACAATTGAAAAGTTAAAGCCATCTCATTTGTCATAAAGCTTGGTTGTTAGATTACCATTAACGTAGAACTAAAGCAATACATGAGAAACAAGAAACTACACACATGTGGCCTAAAGTCAGTGATCGGAACATACATCGATAAGCTTTTTCTAAAGACTGAAACCAATATTGGTCCTAAGGTCAACTCAAATTTTTAACTAGAAGTGTTCCTTTGATATACTATATTTTACTTATTTTCTATAGACTTACTATACCCTGAAAAAAAAAAATGGAAAACAGGAATTAGCTGTTTAAATGACCTCGACCACCGAGGTTAATCTAAAGTTTGTCCCTGCCTACCTGAAAAACAGACTACTTCGGGCAGTCAGTAATTTCCAACTCTGGTTATGAGATGCTAAATGTTCAATATTTACAATCAAATGCTTATATTTACATTTTTAAATTCAGGATAGATTGAGAAAGTCAATAAAATCACTTCTATATTATGTCTGTATACTTCAACTGAGAAATTAGTTGAAACTGGTTCCAGAAAAGAAGCTGAAAATGTTCAATAGTTTACAGACAACACTTGAAACATGATGACTGAACAAACACAGATAGCAATAAGTAATTTAAATGACTCAGGTGAATTATAACCTGTTCAATCTAATAGATCCATCTTTTTTCTAATACGACGGTTGATCCAAAAGTTTGTGAAATTTAATTATCTCTAAAATTTTATTGTGATTTGATGAAAGCAAACAATAGGCATATTTATAATATGGAGTCTTTATGCAACAATACTGGATATTTTCACCATGTTCCAATTACCAATAAGGTCACACGAGCTTTCTGAACATTGATAGTTGTAAAATCAGGGGGAGACTTCTACGTAACGTCAAGTTAAGTATGTCATGTCACATTATAGGAGCGTTATAGGAGCATCTCACCCTCATGTTCAATTCGACTAAGTAATTCTACAGAATATTCTGCCTTTTTCTCCTTTTCTCTCTCAAGAAAAGCCTTGGTATCCTCTCACACGGATCAACTTATCTTAATATTACACTCATATTTCAAAAATACTCCCCATCTTTGCATATGGTGTTCCAATTTCAGAAGCAAAGTCAAACACAGTACGTCAGCGGTCAACGTCCATCAACGCTTAATAGCGATTTTCTGTAACCACTTGAACTTCTTTGCCACGCATGGTCACCGATTTTGATAAAACTTTGCCTATTATTACAACTTGACACCAGAAACATATATCAAATAAAATTCCGTTGCTATGGGTCTTGGTTGCCATGGTAACAGCCAGAAAAGTTGAAAAAATTGAGATTTTCAGCTACTTTGAATCTTTATTAAGCCTTAATAAAGACTAAGAAAAACAAACAAACCATTCTCCTAAAAACATGACACCTTGTTTCCACTTATGCTATAAAGAAACTATTTAGAATTTATCTCTAAGTAATGGTAACCATGGGTACATTTGAAATACGTTTTAGATGCTGAAAAATGCTGAAAAACGCTCAATATTCACAAATGAAAGATGTTACATGATCAAACTCAATCAACAACGTAAGAAAAACAATAAAAAATATTTGACCTCATGTAATTAGGTATTGGCAATATTATTCTAAAAATAATTTTCATGGTTGCCATGGTAACACAGTGTCACCATGCAAAATCTGTTGCTATGATTGGGTTAATGCTACTATCGTGAGGAAAAACAATAAAATTCATGACTGGCACATATGCATCCTTAGGACCTTGCAACACCGACAACATAAGAAAAATTGAGATTAATTGTTGCTTTGCAGTGTAACCATGGAAACAACGTACTAGTTGTTTAATGTGATATTTTTTTGCTGCTTTAGGAATTTACTAACCTTTTAATCAAGAAAAATATTATTTGAATCACCCTGAATAGTATTTATCTCGTAGAACTAAAGTTGAATATCATATATTGATAAAGGTTGTTGAAAAATACAACACTGTTGCTATGGTTACCAAGAAGAGAAAATGTTCGATTTTGTTAATTTTTTGTCAATATTAGACCCTATGTGCCAGCTTTTTGCATCCAGTTAGAGATTGGGTGATAGTCAAAATTTAAAGTCAGGTTAGTTGTTCACATATATCAATCATTAAAGTTTCGGGAATCTACATACAACGGTACGTATCCAAGGAAACAGAGTATTTTTCAGATTTTTATGCATATTTTTT